TAGCCCCCACTGTGATTATAAGAGGGTGGGAAATTCTTTTATGGTAATTAAAAGGCAGAGCCTTGAAGAGGTGATTAGATTGTAGGACCAAGCAGTAGTGCATTGATTAAAAATGGTGGTCAGGGGCATGGTTCTGAGGGCTTTAAAAGAAGAGGAGAATCTGTCTCTCTCTCTCTGCTCTTTCTGCTTCCACCATCATGGAAAGTGAAACCTCTGAATCACTCTCACCACCACCAGATGGATTTTGGACTTCCCAGCCTCAGAAACAGTAAGCAATAATTTTTTTTCTTTATAAATCACCCAGTCTCAGGTATTCTCTTATAGCAACACATAAAGGACTAATACAGAGAGGATCTTCTTGGAGTGAATCTGTTTTGGAATCTTTGCCTTCCTGGATCTGAAGCTCTGCATCTATCCTGATAATTGGGAAGTTTTCTGTTATTATTTTCTTGAATCGGTTTTCCATGCCTTTTCCTTTTCCCTCCCCTCTAGAATACCCATGATTCATATATGTTTGTGCACTTGAGGTTATCTGCTAGCTCTCTTAGATTTTCTTCATTTTTAAAATTATTTTTTCCTTTTTTCTGTCTGCCTGGGTATTTCAAATAGACCATCTTCAAGATCTGAAATTTGTTCTTTTGCTTGCTTTAGCATGCTTCTCAAGCTCTCTATTGTGTTTTTAATTTCACTTAGTGAACCCTTCCATTCTAGGAGATTTGACACATTCTTTTTAAAGATATTAATCTCTTTGTAAACTTCCTCCTTCATATCCTGGATATTTTTTCTTGTTTCATTGTGTTCTCTAATTGATTATTCTCTTATCTCTTTCAGTTTTCTTAAGATCATTGCTTGGAATTCCTTTTCAGACATTTGAAGGGTTTCCTGCTCTATGGGGTCTGGTACTTGAGAATTACTGTATTCCTTTGAAGGTGTCATATCTTCTTGTTTATTTGTAGTGCTATTATTTTTTCATTGATGTTTGGTCATGTGGTAAAGTACTCGTTTCTTCTATTACTCTGGAGTTGGCTATGAGGATAAAGCCTTCCCTTCTATTTGCATGCTTCACTGGTGACTCTTCTTGTATCAATGCAGTCAGGTGCATGGCAGGCTGCCTGTAGGGTGGCCCTGGCTGCTATTGTGGTTGTGAGCTGTCGATGCGGTGGCAGTAGGTGTGGCAGTGGCTGTGGTAGAACACTTTCCTTCCTGCTTGGCTGGTGGGAGGGAATTTCCAGGGCTTCAGTCTGGGCCCCTGAAGGTGTGCAAGACACTGCTTATCTTGGCTCTTTCTTGAGAGAAGGGCGGGGCTTTCTGGGGCTTGGGTCTGGGTTCCCAGTGGCACACAAGATACCACTCACCTTGGCTCCTGCTCTCTAAAAGTAGTTTAGAAATTGGAGAATCCTACATTGGAGATTTTAAAAATAGAACTGGTTTCTTCTGCTTCTGTGTTGACTCTGCTGACCTTTGTGTTGGCTCCATTTTTGATCAGGTTCTCTCCACTCATGGAAGGATAATAGGAAGGAGTTTTGTGCCTGTCCTCTCAAACGCTATATTAGGAGAAATAAATATTTTTCTCTATTTTCCAAACAAATGTCCTTACTTTGCATCTCCTTGGTACTAGATCCCTGACCACATCATTATAGGTTTGGGAAAATGTTTTCTGATGGACCAAGGAGGAGTCATATTTCCACACTTGGGAGACAACACTACCCAGACCTCATATACTAAGTATGGACAAGTTGTGGTTTATTAAAGGAAACTCAGAGTTCAGTTATTCAAATAGGAAAATTGATTTCTGTCAGGCACAAATAACCAAGCCCTCTGTCTAATCAGACAGTTTTTACAACTCATCATTAACATCCTTATGAAGCTGGCAGGATGTATTTGCAAAAGTGTTTAGATATGAGGATGCTTCAAAAAGTTGGTGAAAACATTCCTATCATATTTCAACTCTATATTTCCATGAACTTTTTGAAGCACCACGTTGTGCAGCAAATGTCCACCAAAGGTGAATGTATCCTCCTTCTTGATACGAAATTCTGTACTACATTATGAAAAATAGCACACTCTATTATGGGGACAATCTAACATTTTCAATGTCTCATTTGATGTCTCCCTGTGCTGTTGATTGTGCTAGTAAGTTTCACGTATGAAAGAAATTACTTGAAAAGTATTTGTTGTGTCCTGAGACCTGACCTCTCTTCTCTTTGCTGCCTTCAAATTGTGCTCAGGAAGAATCAGAAGAGGTTCTTATCTCATTTGACATTGCAGTTTTCTAGAAAAGGTAATTACAAACTGATACTAACTTCTTTTTCAATTAGGTTTCATTTTTCTTCATTCATTCACTTAGTAAATGATTGATTATCAGTTGTACACTATAAATTGTAGTTTATAAATACTTACTATCGTAGATACAGGGAAGAACAAGACAGTCATGATTCCTAAACTTAGTAAGTGCTTACGATTTACAGAACTGCTAAGAGTTTGAGGAACAAAGTAAGAATTCTTTTCCAGTTTCTAACCATTATGCAAAATTTTCCTTTTTAAAGTTCTCTTGTCATTGATCCTTTAATCAGGACTTGCATGTTTGTGAGTTTCAGACACTAAGGCTCATGTGGTCTTCTGCAGAAAACTAATGCACTCCTTCCTGAAAGTCTATACCTTTGGGGTCCATACTGTTACTCTTTCATGATTAGATCATGATTCTTTGAAAATACTTCTTGAGATCCTTCAGGGTTTCTTTTAAATGTTGGCATAACCCTTCACTTTGTTGTTGGCTTACTTCTCTAATCTGTATGTTTTCTTTGGCTGACCTCATGTAATCTCATCAACTGAATTATCATTTACAAATAAGGATTTTTAGTATTGAGTTATGCAGTAATGACTTTAAATTTGTAGTTAAAAAATTCAACTCTGTACTAGACATTCATTCTTATATTCCATGGCTACCTAAATTTCAACTGGTCCAAGTTGCCTCACTATTAATTTCAAAATCCTCAACATGAGATACCATTACTTAGCCATTAGAAGTGTCTTTCACCTTTATCACTTTTTAGTACTCCCTGGTTTCCAATCTAGGCTAAGAAAATGTGCATATGGAGGAAAAAACACAGAATAAGACAATCATTAATACAGACCTCAGTACTCAGTACTGAAATTAATAAGCATGGAAGCTGGGCAAGCTGCTTACCTTCTGTGAGTTTTAGTTTTCTCTTCTATGAAAAGATAGTGTTAGTACCTACCACATGGGATAGTTATGCAAATTAAAAGATGTAACTTATTAGAAAGTGATAAACAATGAGGATATTATATAAAAAATGATTACTGATTTATTAAAAAATCAATAAACATTAGGTGATGTAAAATTTTTCAATAAAATGTATTGCTTAATAAATGTCTTTTTACACCATTCTTAAGCATCCGTTAAGCCAAGTTCATGTTCATTTCAAACACAGTTCAACTTTGGCAAACATTTTCTAAAATAGGAATAGAAATTTCAACTCAAATCTAAATTTGAAATTCTACTGCTAGCCCAGATATTTCTAGAATTATCTCTACAGATAATTTTAAAGACTCAAAATTGCAATTATTTTTAGTTTATCAGATTCAGAAAGAATATCAGCCTACCTCATTTTCACTAGTTTATTCTAGCATTTCAATGTTACCTCAATTTGAGTGACAGTATTAAGAAAGCATTATAAGAAGAATATGAAATTATGTTTCCTTATATACCAAGACTTTATGTATCTGGATAAAACACTTCCCTAAAAAGAGGAATCTAAGATAAAATGGATGAAGAGACTATGAGGTATTCCAGAAAGGTCTATTCCCTCTAACAAGAAATGAATTAATGACTTTGTCCTTATATCACATAAATAACTCACTAATCTGTGTAATCTATGTATGCATTCTAACCATACGTCAGCTAAGATAAAATGGATGAAGAGACTATGAGGTATTCCAGAAAGGTCTATTCCCTCTAACAAGAAATGAATTAATGACTTTGTCTTTATATCACATAAATAACTCACTAATCTGTGTAATCTATGTATGCATTCTAACCATACGTCATACACACATACCCACTCTCCTCCTTTGTATATAACTTACCTCTGTCCCTTAACCAAGTGGAACGTCCTTATTTGAGGAATAGAGTATTAGAAATATGAGAACTTCATGCTGGAACACACTACAGCTACCTTTATAGAATTCATTACATTTTTAGCAGATTCATTATGCATTTATTGAAGGCCCAATATGCACTCAGTTCTGACAGCATAAAGCTTTAGAGGCAGTTTTTACTTAATGTGTCCTCACCATTCAAGGCTAAAAGAAAATCAAGCTATTCTTATTTCAAAGATTTCCTATCTACTGTCATCTCACATCACATCTCAGTCAAACACTGTGAGAAGTGTTCTTGGAGAGTTATCAACTAAAAATTCTGCAATAAGTATGGCTTTTTGCACAGGATTTCACACTGAATAATATAGTTACATCTGGAAATTCCTAACCTAGAGGAAAAGAAATAGAACAATTTAAAAGATATTTTTAAGAGTATGACATGTGCACAGGGGCTTCTCAAACAGAATCCACAGACAAATTTTCACCATTTCACTTCCTTGGAAATATTGTTTTGGAATGTGTAGCCCACAAACATGGATCTTCCAAGGTTTTATATATTGAAAATATTCCTAAGGATTACATCTCTCAGTCAGAAGCCAGTATGTGGAAAGACATGAGAGAGAGAAAAATAAAATCTACATGATAACTAACAAGTCAAAACAAAATAAGGAGAAATACCCTTCAGAAGAACCCAGAGAACATGATTGACTGGCTATCTTACCTTGCTTTTTTCCATCAACATTTTCTAAAGTACGAGGGAGCTGGCTGTCAAAGCTGTATTGAAGTCCATTTCTTTGCTTTTCAAGGTGATGTTCTTCCTCAGCAATAGAAGAAAGCACATGTGGTGACTTTTGGTCATCAAGGGTCTGATTGGGCCACTGGGACATTATGGAACATGAGTCCTTTGCATGTTGGCTAAGCCTGGGGCTTGAACTTTGGGCAGAATCCTGCAAATCACTATTACAACATGAGAAATGATCCACTTCAAGAAACAAGGAATTTGTGTCCTCTTGACTCCAATCACTGTCTTGTTCTCCATCTTCAACATAAGTTTCCTGAATGTGAATATCATCTAAGTCCTGGTCTAGCTTGTCACTCAGTTTAGAGTCTTGTTTGCTGAAGTTAACCAGCGAAGCAGATAACATATCTCCTGCTTGCTGGAGAGCTTCATAAACCCGAGATATCCAGGAAGAGAAAGGCTGGAAGAAGTTCTGAGCATCGTGAGACGCCATGGCCAACACCATGGCCAGCTATCTGAAGTCTACAGAGTCCACTTGTTCAGTTCCTTCAGCACTCTGGACTTAATGTGAACTACAGAATAAGCATGATGAGAAATTAAATTGGAGGTCTCTTAATGGCTGTGAATATTTCACTCTCAAAACTTCTCAGCTGAAACAGAGGAAAGAAACACTTACACCTGTTAAAGTCATAACCTCAGACCATCACCAGATACCTACAATCAATGTCAAACAGCATTGGGAGATATAAAGAAATCATCATTGAAATCTTAAAACAGCTAAATAAAAATGACTGTGAAAATCTAAATGTAGATTATTTCAATGCCCATTCACCTCCATGGGCAAATACAAAACTTCCATTAGCAGTAATGGGTTCTATTCATGTAGACTGAGAGAAGTCTATCTCCCACAGACCATTCTTAACAATGAGAAAAGGATAAATGAATCTTCATTAAGAGCCAACTGGGCATGACATTTCAAAATACAAAAAGGTTGGATGTTTCTTGTACACCTGAAGATTCCAGAGAGCTGACTAACAAGCATCTCTGCTTTGTGACACAAAGGTTTATCCTTTCAAAGGAAATGTGTATTTGGAATTTAAAAGCTTTGAACAAATCTGAAAATAGGATTTTATAGTTTTATGCTATGTCTAGAAACTATATCTATTCTTGGAGTGCAATCACTGAAAAACTGAAGGTAGCAAAAGGATCATCCAGCTTACTGGAGATATGTCCCTGGTACCTCATTGCCTTTGTTATGTTCCAACCTCTACAACCCGTGAGACTCCTGAGATGCACTTCATCCTGCAAGATTCATAGCCTGAAGGAAGCAGCTACAGAATGTTATAGAACAGCAGGACACTAAAGACTCTAGAGCTAAATATCCATACTCTTACATGTATACATGCATACAAACACATACATATGCATATTTTGTGTGTGTGTATCTTATTGCTGTTACACTGTTTATCAAAAATTCAGAATGAATGTTACAAATGAGTGTAGAGCTTAAACTCATTGCTTGGACTTAATTACCCCATCTCTTCTATAGCCATAGCTTCCTTCTGACTAAATCTCCTAGCTATCCCTTAGGCTTCAGCCCTCTTGACCTCAGGCTATTGTATTTGATATGACTGTTTATAGTCTCCTAAAAATTTCTCATTATCCATTTATGGATGCACTGATTCATTTAATAAACAATTAATTAAGTACCTATTAAGCTCTGGGCCCAATGCCAGGTATAAGGTATCCTTGTGGGCTCTGTCTCCAAGGAGCCCATATTTCAGTTAATGGGAAACTGAGCTCTCTGCATTTTCCCCTCATGCTGCATAATTCATGTGTCTCTCTTTCAGGCTCTTTCTTGTGTTCCCACCAACTACATATATGCAATCACTCATCATCCTCTGGCTTCTCCTCCTTCCTCTTTACAACTAACCAGCTGGGAGAGTTGGCCCATCCCTAAATTTCAATTAACACCTTTTTAGAAACTCCAAAATTTACATATCCAGCCCTTAGCTCAATCCTTCTTTCCAGACTTGTATCTCTGGTTACCTAAGCTAGAGATTCTCAAACTTTGGTGTGTCAGGATCACCTAGCGAGCTAATAAAGAACACAAAGGCCCAGGCAGGCAAGGAATAGGGCTTTGCCTGGACTTACATATTTCTGTCAAGTTCTCCAGGAGAGTCTGACTCCCATCGAAGTTGGAAAAATACCGATATAAGAAAATAGCCATGCTTGGATGTCTCACCAAAATCTCAAATTCAGCTTATCCAAACCTGAGACTCGACTTTGCTACAAGTGTTCAACACTCTAGACTCATTCTACTGGTTGTAACTTTCTCTCTTCAACACCTCCCCCTTCCACTCCTTCCATTCCAAGTTCTGTTCGTTTCTGGCCTATGAAGTCTCTCTTCCTTGTTTTGTGCAGCAATCACCTTTCCCCACACTCTAGTTCCCTCGGATATTATATACCTAGTTGGCTTCAGTCTCTAGTCTTTCCCAGCCTCCATCCATCCTGTTTGCTCACCATGCCCTGACCTCACATCAGGTTGTCTGTCTCCTCCCTAGAATGGAGTCTGAAGTCTCTCTTCCTTGTTTTGTGCAGCGATCACCTTTCCCCACACTCTAGTTCCCTCGGATATTATATACCTAGTTGGCTTCAGTCTCTAGTCTTTCCCAGCCTCCATCCATCCTCTGTTTGCTCACCATGCCCTGACCTCACATCAGGTTGTCTGTCTCCTCCCTAGAATGGAGTCTCCAAGGAGGGCAGAAATTGTCTGTTTTGTTCTCTATTTTATCCCCTAGAAGTGTGCTGAGTACATAGTAAATTCTCAATAAATAAATGAGTGAATCCTATTAAAAACAGTACATAAAACAGTGACAAATGTACTCAATAAATTTGTTAAATTAATGAGTAAAACCTACTCAGAATTGTTGAAAATGTGTCAATGTTATCACACAAATTCCCTGCTTATTAACACTAAACAGTCAGCATTTGTTCCACCCCACTTCACCACTCACAGTTTTTTTTGTTTTTTTCTCCACAAATACTTTGCATAAGTTACCATACTTCGGGGTATCACAGACATAGAAGGTTCTCTCTGAGATATCAGTGGCATTAGCTTCTACTATCCTTTGGTACTTTTTAAGACAGAAACAATACATCTTCCTTAATAATCCTTTCCATTGTTGTATTACAGAGAGAAAACTGTCTTTTCATATGCAACCCAAAATCTCTTCTTTAAGAGATTTTAAAGCCAGCATCTTCTTGTTCAATTTTCACAGTAGCACAGCCCTTGATCTCGACCTAATATACCCTGGTCTTCTGTAATCTCTGCCCTTCAAACCACCACGGTGATTTTTCTAAAAAATGAATTTTGCATCACCCTCTTAGTTTAAAAACAAAACAAAACAAAAAAACCCCATGGCACCCAGTTCCTTACACTGCAAAGTCTGAGCACTGGCAGCCCATCTGTCAAAATCACCACTCGCTTATGTTTTTTGACACAGTGATTTTTTTTTCCCCCTTTTTGTCTTTGTTCATGACCGGTAATGGGATCGCAATCCTCGGTGTTGCGCCCACACCGCGCTCAACCAGTGAGCGGACCGGTCTCTATATGGGATTCGAACCCTCGGCGGGAGCGCTGCCGTGCTCCCAAGCGCCGCACTCTACCAAGTGCGCCACCGGGCCGGCCCTTGACACAGTGATTTTAAAAATTAATCTGAATGCTTCCAATCACTACAGTCCTCACCTCTTCCTGTTGTTTATACCCACTTGCTTCACTCATTTCTGTGTGGCCTGCCTGACCCCTAGAAGCATTTGAATTTTCAAGCCCTACCCAATAGATAAGGTTCAAATTCTCTACCACAGCAGCAAAGAAGAGAGTTGGTCACAAAATTAACAATCAGCACCAGATAACTGGCCTTAGTGCTAGCGGGGGTCCTAAATGCCCCTGCTAAGTATAACTCTTTAATTGCTGAAGCATTGGGTGTGAGGTCTGGGGGGAGCAATGGTATGGTAGAAGGGGCCTCAGATCAGTGGCTATTTATCAACCAGCTTAGAACTACTTCAGTATATTAACAATTCACACACTCTACCTTTTGTCCTACCTGAATGTCCAGCTGTGTATGAGCTGTCCCCAATACTACTGCCACACAGTGAGAACTTGGCCATTCCTCACTAGTCCTCCCTGTAAAGTCCTAGGTACCAGTCACAGTAATACACTAAGCATTTTCCAAAGTTACGGTGCTCTTTCCTGACTTCTATTTGTTTTGCCTGGGATGGCTCCTCCCCCTAACCTGCCTGGTAAATACTCATCTTTTATAACAAATCCCCAGTGCTTTCTTTGTCAACTCCTCGTCTACAATCAAAGGTGTAAACTCAGAAACTTTGAATGTGCCTTCATTATGTAAGATTTCACTTGGCATGGTAAATATTTGACAGTTGTCCTCTTCCTGTGGACTGGGAGTCTGTAAGTGCCAGGACCACACTCATACTTTGTACCTCCAGAATACACACCAGGCAGGGACACTACATGTTCAATGAATGAATGAATAGAAGTTACTAATGGAAATGTTCAAAGCTAAATAGCCTTGATTCCTTCATTTATAATCATCTGTAAAGTGGAGTTAACTCACTAGATGACTTCTAACAGTTCCTTTCTGCTTTGAAACCCAACAATTTACATGTGGGAGCCAAAGGGCATTGTAATATTGAGGCTGAGTATATTCAGAAGTAAGTTGCCTTTTCAGAGATTTGTTCTACAGTTTTGTTGATAATCCCTGTCAGATGATCCCAGAGTGACTGGAAAGAGGCCAAATCTCAGCCTCGATATGAAAGAGTATCTAGTCGTTATGCTCCAAAATACTCAAAAAGGAATTGTACCTACAGCTAGAACGTGAAAAACTACCTATTTAGCAAGCTTTCATTTTATACTAAATCAGCCTAAAGCCAAAGGGGCTAAATATTGGCACAATAATCATGGAGATATCTTTGCTGCTTAAGTAAATTTCAACTTGATTGGTAGAGCACCCCGAGGGTAATACCAGACAAATATGTACCTACTATCCTAGTTCTTTAGGGGCTTTCTTACAGCTAATAAGAAGACAAACTGGCTTCTCATGTTATAGAAAAAGGAAAAAAAATGATAAAAGAAAAATAGAAAAGAAAGGGCAGTTTAGCTCCCTGGATTAGAATGAAAAACTGCATTTAAGGTCTTGTCATAGCTGAGAACGCTCATCACTAGAATTAGAATAGTTCATGACACTTCCTAATTATGAGAAGTATAAAACAAAATAACAAACAAGTATGTGTGTGTTTAACATACAAGCTCCTACCATGAACATTATCTGGGAAGGTTTACAACCTCTCAAAGCACTCAAACCAGCAATCTAAGAAAGAATTAGCAACAACTGATAAATAAAAATGAAAGGAAAGCTACCAGCATATTTCTAAGGGCTACATTTTTTAAAATCTTGTATTAATTGGAATTACATTTTAACCATAAGAGTTTAATTTAATTAAGATCATTTTAAACATATGAAATAACTAAGCAGGAAATACTAAAGAGTTGTTTCTGTAGGGGTAAAAACGATCAAATTCTTGAGCCATACATATGCTTTATCATCTATTTTGATCAACCTCACCC